TCCATCAGTTCTCCCCGAGGTTGACCCCAGTTGTCCTGCATTGCTAAATGGTTTGCGGAGTAGTTAAAAAAATTGATGCTGCCTGAAAATTTATGATCGGGTCAGGGTTTATTGCTAACCAAAAGCTAGCTTTTAAATTACTGTGATCACTGTGGGGGTTTGTCCTGTCAAGGAGCTGAGTCAGCAGCAGGATGGGTTGATGAAAGATGCCTTGGTCACACACACACACACACACACACACACACACACACACACACACATTCCAAGGAATAAGCACTGAACCTGAATGGACACCCGCCAAAATTTGCCCACCTGTTTGCACGCTGAAAACAGACCTGGAGGCCATGAGCAGGGATGGGGAGATGAGCAAAGTTGGAGAAGAACAAATCAATTGACAAAGAAGGATTTTCCATAGACTGATATAAAGGTACCAATTAGACCAACTTTTTAATGAGCATCTGGATATGCCGAGACACCCTTTTGGTGAATAACAAGAAAATCTGTGAGTACAGTGGTGCCTCGCTTAAAGGCGATAATCCATTCCAGGAAAATCGCCGTTAAGCTAGAACATCGTACAGCAAAAAACCCATTTAGACAATCGCTTTGCTATAGCAATTGCGATCGCAAAAAGATTGTCGTAATGCGGTTTTGTCGTAATGTGGGGCAATCATAAAGCGAGGCATGACTGTATCTTCTAGATGGGTGTGATGTGCCATCAAATCCCATCCGACTTGTAGTGCCTCACATAGTGTTTCCAAGGCACACAGTTGCTTTTCAAGGTAAAGATTGGTCTCCCCAGCACCACCTGTCTCGTGAGTTTCCATGGCTGAGCACAGCTGTCAACCCAGGTCTCCGGAGTCCTGGTCTGTCCCTGTGGACACCTGGCACATTTGAAAGGGGGGCCACCTGGCTGGAAACAATTCTTCTGGAGACAGTTTGAGAATGGGCATACGGCGCCACCCTGAGTATACCCAGGTATTCATTGCCTTAAGAGACATACCTTTGTAACTGGGAAAAGGAGCTAGATCAACTGTTTCTTGTAACCGGGAGCATAACTAGCCATTTTGATGCCCAGACTTTGGCTTTCCTGTGGGTGAAGCTAGGATCACATTACATTAGTCTACATGGAGAGAAGATGGAGGAATAGAGTAAAATGGCATATTACTTCATTGACGGGTGAAGCCAGGATCACATTACATTAGCCTACATGTAGATAGAGTAAAATGGCATATTACTTCATTGATCCTGACTGCTCTGCATTTTTTTCCCCTGCAGTAGGTAGGTGTTTGTTTTCCTAAGTATTAGGGATCCCATTGAGGGAAAGCTCTTCCTCCCAGGGAAGAGCCTGGGAGATTTTGCTCCCCTTGGGCAGAATCTTTCAGACAAGCTCTCCTATCGGCTAGTTAAACGCCCGCAACTGAGTCTTGGGTGGGGCTCTGGCATGACACCGACACACAAAACTCAGCCTGGAACTGGGAGTTTGTAGAGTGTCTTTTCTATAACCAGACAGCATCTGTTGTATATCCTAATCTGGATTAGTTTGATTGTGTTTTAGTTCCTCCTTATTTATTTGCTGTTACTACTGGACCAGCTTGATCCTCCATCGTTCTTGGACTTCAGCGTTGGGTTTACCCAACTGTGTGGCAGGACTTTGTTAGATGCTTGCTAACAAATGGCTCTGGATGCTTCTAGATGGGCCTGCCTATTGCTATATGCGCCTCAGCTTGCTCATCGTGACCTTGGGACCAACCCACAAGGGAGAAGACCCAGTGGCCAAAGTGCAGTCCATGGCCCATACAGAGCCCACAAAGCTGTTCTTATGAGTTCCAAGCTCTTCTTAGATGCAATTCAAGAATCTCTCCCATTTTGCATCAATGCAATGCTGGCAGGATAGCTCCTCAGTTTAGGTATGGTCTGGAGTGCGAGTCTCCGCTGTGCCTCCCAAGAAAAGTGCCAGCCCTGGTGGCCTTGGGCAAGCTGTACAATCCCAGGATGCCTCCAGAAGCAGGGAAGGGTCAACTCTCTACTGGGAAAACCCTGAAAAAGGTCACCATAAGTCAGAATAGACTTGATGGCGCATTAAAAAAAAGCAGGAAGGTATGTCTGCACATGGAAAAAAGGTCCTTGGATAAACCAGCTTTCACCTGGTCTTCTTGACATGGGGAAACGACAGCCCACCCAAAATAAATGGCCGAATCCTGGAGAAACATCTGCCTAATGATCATCAGGGCTGGAGGCTGTGTGAGGAAAAAGCAATGAGACATTTTCTCAGAGGAAGGCTTTCTGAGAAAAGTCAGCTCAGCTCAGCTTAGTACTCTGGTCAGGCACGGGGCACAGAGGAGGAGAGCGTTCCATCTGGATTAACGTCTGTAGAGCCCTTGTGGTTTGCACAAGGGGAGGGAACGAGCCGACAGAAAGTGAGCTGTCAAAACTCCCCAGGCCCCCCCAGTGGTGCATCACTCCTCGATGCCCCCGTCCATCAATGTCCAGAGCTGCACCTGTCATTCAGAGATCTCCTGAGAGTATGGCATGTGTCCAATTCCAGCGGCCAGCTGCCTGTCAGTGGGCATCTCGGAGGTCCGCTCCTTTCCACCGAGGACTGGAGAGAAAACTTGGCCGACTCATGGGTCCGTCAAGGAGTTGAGGCAGGCATTCGGCTCTGTGACCTGAGAAGCAGGAACTGTTAGACCACGGTTAGAGGGAAGACTTTGGAGATACAGGTGAAACCCACTAGGTGACTCTGGACCAGTCAGCCTTCCTTAACTCACAGGGATGGAGAGGAAAGTCAAGTCTACTGACCTCAGGGGTTGAGGGCTGTGGCTAAAGACCCCGAGGTTGGGAGTTCGATTCCCCCCACTGACCACAGGGGCTGAGGGCTGTGGCTAAAGACCCAATTCCCCCTCGGTGCCTCCTTGACTAGAGCTGGACTTGATGATCCACAGGGTCCCTTCCAGTTCTGTGGTTCTAAGATGATGATGATGACATTGAGTTTGATAGAAGACAGGTGGGAGATAAAAGGGGCTCATCAATAAAATAGATCTGTTTTCTCCCCATGACTTGCATTCAGATGTCTAAATATGGGATGGGGAGCGCGCACAGAGACAGGTGTAAGCATAAAGACCATTTTTAAATGACAAGTTTGTTGTTGCAGCTGCTGCGTGTCATCTTTAGACTTCCCTGGCTATCTATCCCTGTCTTTACTAGATGGACCAACTCAAGGAAGACCTCAGACTGCCTTGTCATCCTTCTAGGCTACCATTTTCGCTTAGATCAGTGGTTCCCAGATTTGGGTCCCCAGATGTTTATTTATTTAAAATATTTTTTACCGCACCCTTCTCCTCGAAAGGACTCAAGGTAGTTCAATCTTCTTGGACTGAAACTCCCAGAAGCTTTGGCCACTCACTGTGCTGGCCAGGATTTCTGGGAGTTGCAGTCCAAGAACATCTTGGGGACCCCAGGTTGGGAACCACTGTCTGAGATGGGACATGACTGGCAGAACATCTCTTTGGATGGATCCAACTGGTTAGTTCTCTCTTCGATAGATGCATGCCATGTCCTCCTCCTCCTCCTCCTCCTCCTTCCAGGTCTCTTTGGATGGATCCCACCGGTTAGTTCCCTCTTCGATAGATCCGTGCCATGTCCTGCTCCTCATCCTCCTCCTTCCAGAGACCATTCAACCTCGGCTTTCTTGGACACCTCGCTGGAAGTTTGGGTCAAAAGTGAAACACAAACAAACAGATGGCCTGGATGGGCTTCTGAAGGGACACAAAGAGTCACGAGACAATTGGGATCTCTAGAGTGGTGTGTGTGTGTGTGTG